GTCAGACTATTGTAGGGGTCTGAGAGCCAACACCTCGTCCATCTTCAGTCACTTCGCCCTCGTTAAAGACTGGATCAGCAAGAGGGGGCGTGTCAAGTTTGACTACTTGGTCTCAAGAGCAGGCATCCAATCAAAACCCACATGTGAATTCTCCATCTCCGTACTGAGAAAAGGCGTTCAGGTAAGACAACGCCCCTTTTCCTGGGAAGAGTGCACTGATGAGATCACATACGTCATAATAATGGTCATAAATGTGAGGGCTGGTTCTTAAAATTACTTTTACAATGTCATTATAATTTTGAAACTATTACTAAATGAGTATGGCAGTCAGGTCTACCTGTAGTGTATTAACATTTAATTATTTTATGTTATCTGTAAGAAAGCGACACAATCCCTTTTCTGAGTTTATCTTTTAAAATAACTGAGATTTAAAATACTTTCTCAACAGTCAACAATATTTTCCTCCGTACAAAAATCATGACTTTTTCTTAAAATTGCAGGCTCTTGTTTCAACTGAGCAGTATTCTCCCTCAGATCCACCACATTGGGCTTGTCTTTTGCAGTTCCCAGAATTAGAGCGGTTGCTTCTCAAATAGAGAGATTTGTCTACCAAAGATTATTTTTTGGCTACGCAATTAGTTATTTTAAGGTTAAATAAATTGCTGCCTGTGCACTAACTCAGTAGTGTTCACCTGGCTGGCATCTGGAGTTTTCTCCCATCATCTACTTCTTTTAATTGGAGATGCCAGAAGTTCAACCTGGACCTGCAGTGTGCAGATTTAGCACTGAACTGCGAGTCCTTCTTTCTGGTTTTAACAGCTGAACTGTAGATTTCTTTTCTGTTTTCTTTTACCAACATTTGCTATTCAAGCAGCCCACCTGAGGTTTCTCCCTGCTTCTGCCTGGTTTTTTGTTCTTTTTTTATTGTCCCATTGTTTTCTGTTTCTGTTCTATCAATTGAGCAAAAGCTCTCTCTACTGTATTATAGATTTGTAGACAACAGTGGGTTGACAAGATCAGAAATGAGGAGGTGATAAGCCGCCTGGGAAAGCCAAGGGAAATCATCAAAACAATTAAAAAACTAAAATTAGAATATTTTGGACATGTGATGCGACGCCCAGAAAAATACGGCATACTCCATTTAATCCTCCAGGGAAAGATTGGAGGCTAACGAGGTCCAGGCGGAAGAAGAACATCATGGCTTCAAAATCTAAGGGACTGGTTTGGACAAAACTCAAGAGCACTTTTTCGTGCGTCCACTGATAAAAACAGGATCGCCAACGTCCGATAACGGATATGGCACAAGAAGAAGAAGAAGACAACAGTGGAAATGTTGTCTTTCTTCTTCTTTTTCTTCCTCCTCCTCCCCCTTCTTCCAAAAACTTTTTTTCACACATGGACACACATCACTTCTGCCTGAAACATGCATGTCCACCTGAACCTAGCTGTTAAATGCATGGAATATTTTGCACATCTTTGTAAATTCCGTGTCCTCGTTTTCCTCATTTTAACCTGTTGCTGTTATGACACAGACTCCGTGCTTCTGTTTTAGGACAAAGATCTCTTCTCTTTCAAGAGACTAATAAAATCTCATTTGTTATAGTGGAAATGGCATTTTTCAACTAGCATAATTTTTCCTTCTTTTTTAAATTAAAATGCTCTGATGCTTACTCATCCTCAGATCACATATTGAGAATGCTTCAACAGAAAATAAAGCAGGTTGTTTACTGCCTTTTTTTAAATCCAGAAGGTGCCTCAGTTCATTTTTGCTAGTGTGAGGAAGCTGCCAACTCTGCAATATGTCTCAGAGTTTTGAATTGACATCAGACAGAGCAACACTGGAGATCAGCATTAAGTTATTTCTATCACTCTATATCACTTTGTTCTTGGCATAGTGAGATCTGGTCTGCTAATGTTCCCGAAAAAGCGAAAGATAAATCTGTCTATAAAGGAATATCTTTGAGTTGATGAAATGTTCCATGCCACTTTGATAAACACTGCAAGCTTTTAATCCTTCAATCAACAAAGCAAATTTGCATCTCATCTGGATAACTTAATGCGGATCTCCCAGATTGTTGCTGAGTTTACTCATTGTATTACACATAATAGGATTTGTTTGGATTTGATTTAGCATACTGTGTGAACTTAGACATTGTGGTTGATATACCATCCTTCATCACTTTGAATTATATATAAATCCAGCCAATGTTTGTGAGATGAAGGGGAGAAGAGCCAAAAAAATTATTGTTTTTTTCCAACACGACTTCTTTTCCAACCCATATTGTGAAACATCCTCTCTCTAGAAGCCGATTCGACCCTCTTAGGAATGATTTCCCGGACGTTTGTGAAGGCTGAACTCTTTTAAAGGGCCTTTGGACATTGATTGCTATCTGGAATTGGTTTTTATTTGTTAATGCATTATTGTTTCTTGAATTTTTTAGTTTGCTTATTTAGATCTGCTGATAGATCTGTTTTATTTCTTTTTTAAAGATTGCTATGAGGCAATTACAAATCCATGGCACGAGGCAATTACAAATCCATGGCACATAAATAAATTTGAGAAATAAATAGCTGTGTGTTATTCATCAGACCTTTGTTAAGTCATGGTTTAGTATTATATACAAATCTAGCCAAATAACTCACATGCAGGGCCCAGATTTCTGATGCTACCTCTCTGCTTCCTTATCTACATGCAGGTGACTTAGTACTCATACACTGGTCAAGACAATAGAGTAGAATACTATGGCTATGAATATACTATAGTATAGGTATAGGTAGTGCTTAATATACGACTGCAATTGAGCCTGTAATTATAGTTGTAAGTCGTGGTAGTCATTAAGTGGGTCACCATGTCACAGCGCCTAATTTATGTCCTTGTTTGTGGCAGTCATTGTGGTTGTGATTGCTAAGCAAATACCACAGCCATAAAACAAACCCATCTTCTTCAGTGGTCATGTTTTTGCTGGAAACCAGCAGTAAACGGTGGAAACCAGCCTGCCAAAAATGGTAGTCATGTGACCGCAGAACGCTACTAATCCACACTGGTTGCCAAGTGCCCAGAATGCATGGAATAGGGTGGTAAGTAGCTCTGGGAAGGTCCATCACAACTTCAAATAGTTGCTGGGCAAGGACTACCTATAAAACATGATTAACATGGAAAAGAATTGCATCTATAAATTAGGTAAGAAAAATGAATAAGGAATTACTATAAACACTTTAGAGTGATTAATAGTACCCCCTTTTTTCATATCATGTGGCACTAACCATAAATTCAATTGCTGTCCATTTTCTTCAGGAGCATTTGTTCTCCTTCAGTTATCTTTAATATTATGTAATGTTCAGAGTAGCATTCCAAAATCATTTTTGCCTCCCAATTAGATTTTAAAATTGGTATGTAAAAATATGAATCTCTTGATACCTAAAAACAGATACAGTATTTATCTGGAGAAATTAAACCTATTTGGAATTCTTTTTTCTTTCTTTTGAATTCTAGCTTTTGTCAAGAGTGACAAGCCCAAACTGTTCAGGGGACTGCAGATTAAGGTAAGGACCAATTTTTACTTGTTTTGGTACTGCCTTTTTGTTTTATTTTTAATTTAAAAAACCTCATAAAATATTACGTTTGTCTGGCATAAAGTATTATAAGACATTTAGAAACATTTTGTGCATAGAGAGTGGCATTCAACTAAACAAGCCAGGAACATGATCAGCCATTTTCTAACCACTTTCCGAGAACATATTCTACAAGCATTCAGAGTGTGCCTGCCAACAACAACAACAACAAAAGACCCCTCCTTGTTCACTGGGCAAAATGGAAGTTGGGAGAGTCCAAAGATTTTCCTGGTAGGAAAACCTTTTTTCCAACCCCGGGTTTCCAGATTTTATACAGAACAAGTCATGGTACCTGTTTTGGTAAGAAAACTTTGTATAGCAAGTTTTCTTTTACAGTTTGTTCCTCTTTGTACATTTTCCCCTTGTTTTTGGTTGCAGTTCCTTTCTCAAGGGAATAAATCCTTGTTTATTCATACCAACCATATAACCATAATATGTTTATCGCTCTTAAGGTTGATAGCTGATAGTTAAGTTTGCATATTTTTTGCTCTCTTACTCTCCCTTTTTGTGGTCAACTAGTAATAGAAGGGTGGCTATAAAACATGGATTCAGAGAGAATATAAAGAATTCAAGATGCAAATGATAGGTTTGATCAATAATAATAATAAATAGCGAGTTAGTTACTTGTATAAAAAAGAAATTTAACTTTAAAGGAGGCAGGAATGTTGAACTGATACAAAATAACTTGTACTGATTCGTTATACATTTTAAAGACATGAGGGCAATATTTTGATATACAGAATGATTTTTGAATATGATTTATGTGATGGTATCAGAGTGCCTTCAGATTCTGTTAGCACCATGAGTCCAGTTGCTAAGAGATTTTCCCTTGAAGTTCAGTAGTAAACAAATTAGGCTTTCCATTGAATAACATAAAAGTTAGGAGTAATCTTACATCAGCAAACATCTCTGTTTCAAAGTTTAGCACACACAAGAGAGCTCTCCCATGATCAGACTGCACAAAAATATGTAATAACCACAAGCAGTATTTACATATTTTATCTTCTCTAATGCTCTTCCCCTCCAGTTGTCATAGTATTTTTGTACTTAGTGGGGAAAAAAAAAGAAATTTCTATGCTTAAATTGTTTCACATCTTATAAGGAAGTATGGAATAGGAGGAAGGTAGAATGTTCAATACTGCATTTTCAAATAGGCTCTTGATCTTTTTCTACTCCAAGTACAGCTCTGCCTTATTTAATGGCAAGATCCACATAATTCTGCTGAATCTAATTTTCATCTCTGGTGATGGAATTTTCTTGCAATCCGTCATAGAGTTGAATTAACTAACCCAATTTTGACTGTAGATAAAGCAGTAAAGGCCTGTGTTTGACTTTTTTTCACGACATAAATAGATCCATATTTACAACAGGCTACAATAATTAATTCAATCTAAAACTGACATTTGAACTTTAGCAAGGGAGACGAGGTTTGACCAAACAAAATAGGCTGAATATTTTTAATCCAGACAGACAGTAACCTTAGATATGTTTTTTCTCCATAGTATGTGCGCGGCTCTGATCCTGTACTGAAGCTCTTGGACGACAGTGGGAACATTGCCGAAGAACTGAGCATCCTGAAATGGAATACAGATAGCGTCGAAGAATTCTTAAATGAAAAGCTAGAACGTCTCTAAATATTTTCCCCTTTTAAAAAGAATTGAAACCTTGATTTCTCATATATTTCATTGTCATAATCTTCTCAAAGTGTGATAAATGCTGGAAAACATCCCAGCTTCTGCTTTCATTTAAAAGCTATCCCGCATTATGTGGATGTTGATTACAAGGCACTTCAAGCAAAGCACAGTTTATAAATTGGTAGGCTGATCAAATGACTGTCAAGTATATTTCAATTCAGTTTTGCAGGTAGAGATCCTTTATGTTAGGTTTGATAAACTTATCTGATGCAAATACTGAATTTTTTTTTACAATTTGAATATTTTTCATAAAGGTTTCTCTTAATTAGGTGATTCTGTGCTTGCATATAAGTGTGCATATTAATTATGCTGCCACTCATTTATACAATGATGAGACCTTAATACCAAATGTGATATACTATATTCCATCCACCATCACCACCCAAATACTTGCTACCTTTCTTTGCATTTTGTATTTCTCTACTATTCTGTTTTTTATAACTGAGAATATCCATAATAGATACTTGCTTTTTTTAAAAAAAAATGGTTTGTCATTTTGGAGAGACCCATGCTGTTGAATGACTGGAAAATGCTAGGGAATTGCACTTAATGATGACTACATAGAAAGCCTTAAAGAAAGGCATATGCATGTCTGATGTCATGTGTATTTTCACTAAATTGTTTTATCATCTTCAGCAGACATGAGTTCAGTGAAGAGGAAAATTATTTGAGAGGGCAATAAATTACTTCACAAAATATGTATTGAATGTGTCATTTTTTCGGTACATTGTGATTTGAGGCATTTAAGTTTTTTTTTAATTAAATCAACCTATGTGTGGCTCAATTACAAATGAAATTCTAAATGATTTTCTAAACTTAAGATAGGGATGGCTTAAAAAGGACAGACAGTTTCTCAAACAGGATAATAATACAACAAAAAAAAAGTTGACCTCCTGAAGTACAGAATCTGTTTTTAATCTGATCAATGTCTTCACAAGCAGATATAAAAATCTCATTATTGCATTACTAATATTGAAGTATTAGTAATGATACAATAATATCAACGGACAGACAAATGGGCCTTGAACCTGTACAAAGAAAGTAACTTGAGAAAACATCTCAAGACAAGACCATCTTAACTCAACTGAAGATAAAGTGAGAAGCACATTCATATGTGCAAGATTCTGTTACTATCACTGTTAACAATAAAAGTAATCCTGACCTATATGGCTTTTCTTTTTTTTTTGTATGACTTACCTTGTGGGCTACTAAATGATCCACATATACTGTTAGAATGGAGATGTTTCACCACCATTACAACTATGCTGTAGGCCCAGATATGAGTTGGTGTCTTTGTCCAGTCATGTTCCCTCATTTTTCCAGGAATCTCCTATGATGCTCCATCTGTCAGTCATCCTTTGACTAAAGACTGACATACAGAGAGTGGTTTCTCTAGAGAAATCCTTCCAACTGTTTTCATTGTTTCTGCATTCCGGAGATCAACTAAATACCCAACTCAATTGCCTGCCGGATCATTGAACATTGCAAAAATGCCCACAGGGAATCGAGGATCCATAAGTTCACTTTAGACAACCATCTTAATTCAGCTCTCCTCCCTGCAGATCCCATTGGTGCCAATTAGCGTCACAGTGATCTGAAAGTGATCTAACCAAGATGACAAAAGTGATATCCTCCAGTCATTCCAATTCTCTTTCTTGTACTCAAATAATTCAAGTAAGGTTCAAAATATTCAAAAGCTCATTGTGATTATATCATTAATACGTGAAGTATTAATACCACTTTACAATGCCTTGGTAAGGCCGCACTTGGAATACTGCATCCAGTTTTAGTCACCACGATGTAAAAAAGATATTGAGACTCTAGAAAGAGTACAGAGAAGAGCAACAAAGATGATTAGGGGATGATTATTATTTTTCAAAAGTTGTTTAAAACATTAATGGTGGTTCCTTTAAAAGACTAAAACTCTCCAAACAGTTCAGATCAAATTTACAGATGTATTGAAATAGGGGAAATTTAGAAACAAATATATTACCATT